TATATATATATATTGTTCTATTTGTGATTTTGAAGTTATATATAATATGTGAAGTGAAGTTTACTGTTAAGTGCACTGATGTCAGACTCATTTTGAATAATAAAGTTTATTGTTAAATTGTTAAATACCCTGCCTCCACTACATAGGCCTATGTTTGTCACATCATTATAAGTGTTTGATCACCACATTTGAGTTATCCTTGCAAAAAAATTTATATATATATATTAGGGCTGTGCGATTAATCGAAATAGAATCGAAATTGCGATTTGAGACATTGCGATTTCCTAATCGCAAAGCCTGCGATGTGGACGCGATATTACTCTGTTCCAGAGCATATGCATGACTGCCAGCCTTGAGTTGCAGTCTTACTTGCCCTGGGCAAGAGTGAGCGCACCTCCGTGAGCATTTCTGACATTCGCTCGGCTGTCTTCTATCATCATAAAGGCTGAATGGAGACAACTGCCAAACTGCCAAGAAAAAAGCACAACAGCTCAATTATTCTGCAATCTTTTACCCATTATTGAACCCGTGTGCTTTATTTGAGGAAATACATGATGTGATTTTAATTGTTAATGATTCTAATGGGACATTGTTGAATGATGATCCAATTGGCTGGGTGGAAGATTGCTGTGCTTTGTTGAGAATCGTGTCTCGGTTATGTGTGTTTGTCACAGCTGTCTGCTGGAGAGTGTATGTGCAGCTCCCACAGGATTGTGGGTGTGTTAATTAACTGTTTCTCATTGTTAACAAAGCTCCTTGAGACTGTAGTCAGGGGCTTAGATACCTCGTCACCACATAATGCAGCGTAGCTACTAGGGGTGTGACGAGATACTTATCCCACGAGACGAGACGAGACACGAGACTGGGTTCACGAGAACGAGACGAGATTTTTTGACTTTTTTTAAAGAAATCCTCGATGAAATATATAGGGAAAAATAGTATTTTATTCTTATTAATTAAAATCATGAAACTTATACATTTTCACATCAATTTATTAAAAGTTTAACAAAAATTACATGTTTAGGGCCCTATGAAATGTTTTATTTTTTCTCACCATATTATTTATATTTTTTATTGTTACCAAATCCTGTGTTTTAGCGTGTACAGGTGCATCTCAATAAATAAGAATGTCGTGGAAAAGTTCATTTATTTCAGTAATTCAACTCAAATTGTGAAACTTGCGTATTAAAGGGGTCATATGATGCGATTTCAATTTTTCCTTTCTCTTTGGAGTGTTACAAGCTCTTGGTGCATAAAGAAGATCTGTAAAGTTGCAAACACTAAAGTCTCAAAACCAAAGAGATATTCTTTATAAAAGTTAAGAGTTAATCAGACATCAGTCTGGGTCTCAGGAGGATGTATTCATCTTTGATCAAAAGTGTATTAAACTAACACTTTAATACACTTTAACGTTACCTAATGGAACCTTATTGTAAAATGTTACAATTATTTGTTATTAAAGCATATACGTTCACAAA